GGTACTACCGGTATATAATGAGTTTTATACTACCTGGTTGTTGTGGATTATGATAACCCATATTGAGAAACTATCAACCAACTACTATATATAATGAGACGGGATTGTGGTATTTTTCATGGCTCACTTGATGCTTGCAGTTTTTCAAGATCCCTTTCCAGTGGAAGACTGATTTTTCAAGTGGATCGGAATATGAAAACACATGGGTGATAGCGCAAGTGCCAATGCCAAGGGCAGCTTTCTTCTCCAATTCGGTCAATTGAAGCATCCAATCTTAGGGACTCCACGATTTTCAGTTTGAGGCGGACTGTAGTAAACCAACTGACACGTATGATACAATCATATCAGAATCATGATGCTATGATCAAACTTCAATAAATCACCATTTTTGTAGGTGGTATGTTTACCATTCCCAGTCATGGGTGGTAGAAATGGCATTGTTTTACCCGCATTTTTTCGCCCAAGATTTCTCTGAAAACTCCGTTGCGCGAGGCCGTGCGGGTGGAAGTTATGCCATGCATTTTGTCCACCTCTCTGAACCAACCGCAGGACTCCTCCGAGGTGCATCCGATCCGAAGCGATGGCTATGGATGGATGTCTCACTTACTGTACCCCGAGTTGCGAATTTCATAGGTAACTTGACCCAGGAATCCGGCTTTGCTGCATTCCGAACCACTGGCCGTGGATCATACCTCGATTTCGCTCCCCATCAATTTGGGGGGATGAACATGCATAAAACAGCTATGGAGTGAACAGCAGGAGGGTTTTGACTCACCAAATTGGTTCAAGACCCTCAATTGCGCGGAAACATGCATTTCTGCCTGAGTTCTGGACTGGGAAGATCCATGGTTCTGTAGATTGTTTACCTGAAGTCAACCCAGTGAGGGATTTTTGCCGCAAAAAATCGGCTTTCGCTCTCATCAAATCTACACAGAGGAAACCATCCATTTCAGGGCCCGAAAGTTTTGAGCTGGAGAACATATCCAGATAGCATGGTGAACTGAGAATCAGAATGCACCCATGGGCAGTCAACGGGTTCAGGGTCGGCTGAGAGCTTTGTACAGCTTTGTGGTTGTAGGACACTGCGATCTGATCACAGACGTAGAACCTCCAACATGGACCAGTTCAACGCAGTCAAACTGTGCCGTTTCAAAAGCCGTGGTTGATTAGTCTGGGGGCTTTAATATTGTGAATGATCAGAATCCATGAAATGGACATCCCTATGAAACAAACACTATGTATATATATATATATTTGTTGCTTTTCTAGGTTCCTGACACTGCTCAGGCTATACATCCCATTCTATCCCATTATTATTATTATGATGATTATGATGATGATGATTATTATTATTGTTATTATTATATATATTTATATTATATACACATACATCCATGCATACATACATATAAATATATATGGCATATATATATATGGTGTATATATATATACATATATATTGTATCTGTACATATAGACACATCTACGTATATATTGTACCTGCAAACTTGCAGGCCCTGTCAAACTGTTCCCTTTGCGTTCCTCTCTCAGTTGCACCTCTCGCAGTTGCACGTCGGCTCTTTTCCGTTGGGACAGCGATTGGTTTGATCTGCGAAAAGGCAGCTATGCAAGCGACCTAAACCTGATGGTGCAGCTGGACATGCTGCAATTGAATGTAAATGCAAAATGCCAATTGGAAAATGGATGACATGTGACATCGAAATGTGGAATGCTTTCTGCACTCCTCCTTGGGAACATCGCAAGATGCTTCCCTTCCAGGCTCAAACTGCCTTTTTCTGGGAACATTTCGAATTAGCCTGCTGTTTCTCCTCCGCATGCTTGACAGACCCTGAGAAATCGGTAAGGATTACAGAGTGGGCAGCGCTGATCGACGTGATATGAATCGCCGCATCCATCAATCCAGAGTTGAACACCTGGTGGCGGCCTGCCTCTGATCATCAAACTGATGTTCTTGCAGAGCCAACACCATGCTGATTCCAGAACCACTCAAGTTTGCGACGAGGTCAAATGTCGACAATCACGTCGATAATGGTACACACTGCCATACTTTGTGGTCCACACCTGAAAAAATGGAGTCACATCTTGACTTCCATCATAGTTCCTGAATCTCTCAGGATCACTTCGCGCTGTTTCGTAGTGTTCGGCTTCGTCTCGTTCGATGTCCTGAAGATGCCTTTCAATATCTTCTTGAGTGATCACTGGAATTTGACGCTCGTCCAGTGGTCGATATTCTTCTTCATCTGATGTCGTGCTTTCAGACCAACTTGGGGATGGAGGCTGCAGGGGAGGAATCGTCTCTACCAGTGCCATACCCATCGGTGGGAGCTGTGCGGGCTGCTGCACTTCCTCAGCAGCGCCCCGAGCATCACCACGTTGGTCACGTGGAGGCTGCGCGGGAGCTCTGTGCTCGACCGGTGCCATGCCCACGGGCAGAGCCGCAAGGGTCCCTGACTTTCTTGTGCAGGGGCCTCGGCCTCATCGCCTTTTTCTTCATTTTCTTTTCTTTTTCTGTCTACCTTCTCAGCGTCAATGGGGAGACTTCGAGCTGCTGAGCCCGAGCGACTTCGCAAACGTGCCAACCTCTCTACTCCTTCCTTCCAAAGACACTGTGCCAGTAGGGTCAGAAAGACGATGATGACCGAAAAAATGACAATCATCAGATTGAATTCTGAAAGCATCTCCTCGCCTTCTTCTTCTTCTTCTTCTTCTTCCTCTTCTCCTCGAGCAATGGACAAAACTGCAGCCATGGTCAGTAGCCTCACAACAGAGGCTGCCTTCTGGACTTCTTCGTTTGATCCAAAATGGATCATCTTTTTCACTTCTTTCTCCTCCTCTTTTTGTGGTTCTTTCTGGGCTTCCGACTGTGGGACATCCACCATGTGCATCTCCTGTTTCAGCTGCTTGAGACGCTCTGAGGCAAGCGGCTTGGTCCCAATGTCTGCAGTCATTTTGATACCGGACATGTGCTGAATCGACCACATGCCCTGAATGATCGAGTGACGTGCTGCAGCTGCTCGAAGCCGAAGATGCCTGGTTCGCCAGGATCCGCCATTTGTGGTTCAGATGGCAAGAGCCGACTGTGAGTCGGTCCAGCTCTTGCGAGGAAGGCTTCCGAACAACTCATCGGCAATAGCACCGATGCTCTCACCTGCAACCATACTCTCGATGACTTCTACCATCTCAGCCTCAGCAGTTGACAATGTCACAGAACTTTGGCGTCCACTTCGCCAAAAAACTGGGCAGTGGCCAACTTCGATGATGAAAGCACCATGACTTACATCACCTTCTGGTGCCAAGCTGGCATCTGCCATGGCTTCAATCATCATCACTTCTGGGGCTGCTCCGTCAAAACAAAGACCATGGTTGACAGTCTTCTTCAGATAGCCCTTGACCTGCTCATAGATCTGCAAGACTTTTCGGGGGGATCGTGTGACGCAAGATCCCATTTTGGACACCGCGTGCGTTCGAGTCACCAACCATAGCATCTCACCAGTAGCTTTTCGAGCTGCTTTGATGAGTTCTGGGGTGACATCGCTTTCTTCCTCTGGAAGCTGGCTCTGATCTCGGGTGATTGGAATTTTTCTTTCTTGAACTTCTTGACCTCCTTGAGCTAGAAGATCCTTGGTGTATGAGCTTTGACTCATGTACCAGATGTCTCGACCTTTCGCTTGGTCGTAGGCCTTTGAGATCTCAACTCCCAAAAACTTGATGGGAACCTCTGCGACTTGATCTGGCTCAGAAGTGGTCCAGGTAGCTCGTACTTTTTTCATAACTGCTTGAACCACCGTTGAACCTCCAGCCACCAAAAGATCATCGACATAGGTCATCAGCAATCCTTTCAGTGGTAGCGGAGCAAGACCTTCATCCTCATCTTTTTCTTCTCTTTTCTCTTGAATCTTCCAAAGGTTAGGCTCCGCTTCTAACGGAGTCAGTTCCAGCAAGGTCTTTTGACCAGGGCTTTCCTCAACTTCTACCTCCATGGACTCAAGACCTTCATCTCTGCATTCTCCCCAAAGCTTTGGAGAGCGCCTCAGGCCGTAGACCGCTTTCTTGGGGAGGTAGCAGGTGCCAACCTTCATGTACCCCTTTTCAATGAAGAGTGAGGGAGGCTTGACCAAGATGAGGGTCTGTTGGCCCCTTTGGTCCATGACGGCATTCAGACATGCTGTCTTCACATCAACGGTGCCAGCGGTCCACTGCAGTCGAGACGCTGTGACCAAAAGGAGTCTCAGAGCTGCGGCATCTGCGCTGCTGGAGTAAGTGGACTCACCATCTTTCACCTGCTCAAAGTTTCCGCAGATGACCCACCTCACCTTCGGCCTTCCTCCTTTCTTTCCTGGCTTTTTGGTGAAGACGAGCTTTGACGGTAGAAACTCCACCGTGACTCCCATCTGTTCTGCTCCCTTCAAGATCTCTTCCAGCTTCTTTCCGCTGACCTCCTCCATAGCTTCTTTTTCTTCCAGCAGTGAAGACACCTCAGCATCCACTGCCTCAAGCCATTCGCTCCACTTTCGGGATACCTCCTGTGGGGAGATGATCTTTGTTTGAAGAACTTCGTCCTCCTCTCTAGCTTCTCCAGCATCCAGTGCTTTCTTCAGCTGAGCGAGGATCTCAATCTCCTCTGTGGCCAGCTCAGCATCATCATTCAGCATGTGTTGCATCTCCTCTTCTACAACCTTTGTGAACTCTCTCCTGAACTTCACCTGTTTTTTCTCCTCATTTTCTGAGCTTTCTTCGTCGTTCATCTTTAAACGACGAACTGTCGTTTTTTCACTAAGCCTCCTCCTTTTTGTCAAGGCATCGGCAACTTCTGTTTCTACTGCTAACCATGCAGACACTCTCATCTGGTCTTTCATGTGCTTTCTTCATGATGCACCTCGTCACTCTTGGTGGTTGATCTCCAACTTGAATCCGGTGCCCTCCTTCTTCCTTCGAAGGGCCCAGGTACTTGGCCGTCTCAACTGTCGGCTCAAATGCTTCTCTTCTCCATCTCCTTCTTCTGACCAAGACGTCCTGCAAGAAGTTTGGGAAGTCGGGCTGTATATCAAGTCGCTGGCACCTGAACACCTCATTCAGATACCTCAACGCCCATGGCCACCATTCAGACCCAACCTTCGCATGCATCAAAACTCTCTTGATTCTTGACAGCCTTCACTGTGGCCTCTGCTCTTCCATTGGCTCGCGGATCATCTCCTGAGGTTCGGGTCAGGATGATTCCACGAGTTTTCATCCACGACTCAAACGAGCCCAAAAATTCATGGCCTCTATCGCTGTGAATTCGATTCACATGATAGCCGTCAATCCTCAACTTCAGGATCATTTCCATGGCTGTTCTTGTGACCTCCTTTGATTTCTTTGACCTCATTGGTAGGGCTAATTTGAACACCCTCATTTCCATTTCTTCTTCCTTCTTTTCTTCTTCCTCAACCTCTTGATCCTCAGGCAGGGGCTGGTCGGCCGCCGCCTCACCTGCAGGTGGGAACCATGCGGCACGCTGCAACTCCTTCAGCAGCGTCCCGCTCATCACCACCAGGATCGTTAAGCAGGGGCTGGTCGGGAGGAAATATCTCAACCGCCGCCTCACCTGCGGGTGGGAACCGTGCGGCAGGCTGCAAATCCTCAGCAGCGTCCCGCTCATCACCACCAGGCTCATCAGCACGTTGCTCTAGTGCTGGAGCTTCATTCAACTCCTCATCAGGTTCTTCAGGAAGAGGAAGCATCTTTTGGGTGCCTTTCGGAACCATGAACGTGTATGATCCAGCGAGGAAATATCAGCATTTCCAACTTCCGAGGTCACTTGCTGGAAGAAGGGGTCCACAAGTGTCCAGAGCCAAAACTGCAGCCTGTGGACATCGATCTTTTCTGTGAGGGGCAATATGTTGAGAGGCTGAGGACTGTTGACATGTCGGGCAATCTTTTCGATATGGCACATGCCCAAGCTTCACATGTTCCTCCCATGACAAAGTTTTCAGCTTCACTGCCTGTTTGAAGACATCCTTGGTGAGGGAAGAGCTAACCCATTCATCAGACCAGGTGCCCATCTTTCCAATTGTTTGGAGCTTGAAACACCTCGCTCTGGTTGTTGTGTTGGCATGGAGAAATCATCCATGCACAAGTCAAACGTAGTTCCCAAGGTCGTTGGCTTCATGGCCAAGCCTCCAAGACTCCCTTGGTTGAAGGTGATTTCTCGTAGGTTGAACTCCTTCTGAATGCCTTTCCACCCTCTTGTATCCCAAAAGGAGACGACTTCTGGTTGATAGGCCTTTGGAGACGCCGGCTGCTCCAGTGCAAAGTGAACTGGTTCAGGCTTCAGTTGTGCCCGCCTAGTGTATTCAGCAACCATGTAGAGGAAAACCATTCTCCAAAGCAAAACGTCATCTTCTCGTACCATAGCCTCCTCCTTTGGGGTGATCCAAGACGCACCAAATTCTCCGCCTTTCCAGCTTCTCACAGGGCGGGGTGCATCAGGTTGCCCTTCAATAGGACGATGTCTCAACACGCTTCTTGTCCGACAGTCTGGGCCACCAACAACCGCCAAGAGCTATCCTTCGACTGCCGCTCGAAGAAGTCCAGCATAGGGGCCTCCATCTCTTAGTAGGTCATAGTCTGTTCCCTGCTTTCTGTCCAGTTCGACAAGCTTCTTGTGAGGCCCTCCCAGGCTTTTCATTGATCGCCCCAGAGTATAGCCACCTTCCTCACCTGAGTACAAGTGAACTGCAAAGCCCTCTTTCCTCAGCGTCCTTCTGCGCCTTCGATTGAGGGGGATTGATGACCAATCTCCAGGTTCTACCACCAGACGACCTTTTGAGCCATTCCGGGAGCTTTGACAAAACTGGATGAGCCTCAACAAGTCTGTTCATCCATTGCACATCCTCCTCAAAGTCCAACCTCTTGGCTTGCACTCCACATCGAGCTTCTTCCATCTCTTGCATCAGATCCAATGCCAGCTTTCGTGGAATCTGCGGGCAACCTCCGCAATCTTCAACTGGAAGAGGGCCTCGACATGGATGTAGGACTTGAAGACTTCCCTTTTTCCAAGCCACTTCGCAGCCCAGAACATCAATCAGCATGCCCATAGGGACTATGGGCTCCACGTTGGATTCTGCCGTGACCATCGAACCACCGGCAGTCATATGCAGGCGGACACTGCGTCCATCCGCCAAAGAAACTTCAACCTCCTTCATGTTAGTCTCATCCTTAAAAGATTTGGTTGGTCGCAGAGGATGGGTCGCACCACTATCGATCAAGCCTTTGACATTCCTTTCGTAATGCGGCCAAGCTTGAAGGTTTTCAAAGAGTTCAGCTGAGCTTGAAGACGTGAAAGAACCTCGCTCCTGCTATCTTCTTCTTTTTCTGATGTGGACGAAGCACTAGATCCAGCAGCAGAGGAAGAGGTCAAGGAGCGCAACATCTTGTTGGCTTCTTCGATTAAGCCCTTCATAGTCTCAGCCTCTCCTCCTTGATCTTCGGATCTTGGCTCCTCCTGCGACTTGATCTCCCTCAGCCTTCGCAGTCTTCTGCTTTGGTGGTGATCCTTCAGTGGACGGCTTTCTAGGGCAATCTGGCGCCATGTGCTCCGTTGAACCACAAGTGTAACACCTTCGCTTTCCATCACGTTGTGCATGAGAGTATCGACATTCTTTTCCTTTTCGACATCCCTCAGTTGTCAAGTAGAACTTGCACTTCCTTTGACATTCACCCTTCTCATCTTCAAAACTTCTTTCTTTACCTTTCCCCTTCCCTTTTGACTCCTCCTTGTCATAGTCCAGGGACTTCACCTTGACCTCATTTTTGGTAGCTGGAGCCGGGTTCTTTTTCTCAGTCTGAGAGAGTTGCTCGCATTCCGAGAGCAAGTGCATCGCGAACTTGGTCACGCTGTCCAAGGTCGGCACCGTATCTATTCCAAGAGCATGTCGTGCTAAAGACACTCTGAACTGTAGTTCGCGATTTGACTCCAGCAGAGTGGGAGACAAGGGGGAGACAAGTGTAAACTCATGCGGCCCAAGGCACCCAGAGTGGGATACAAGCCCGGAGACAGAGGCAAAATCATGCGGCCCAGGGATGCAACCCTTTGAAAGGAGTAAGAACCCCATACAGGTAAGCCTGTTTGGGGAAAAAATGTACAAAGAGTACATATACGTGTATATATATATATGTATATATATATGTACATATAGTACATATGTATATATATATATTTATACACACCCATTAGTATTCACAAGTGTATGTATATATATATATACACATTTAAATACACCTACACATACATCCAAGTTAGCCGAAGTGTTGTTTTTGGTGCCGAGATTTGGTTTCCAATTGTCCCGACGTTAGAGGTTTCGTCGACGTCCATCCTGTCGATGTCGGTGTCTCCAATCAACTCCAATCGAGGGAGAGGCGCATGGCATAGCATCCCAAGGGGCCCATGAGTGGAGGAACCATGGTCTATCGGGGGGTTGAACACATCCTATAGGGGGTAAAACCATACATTAAAAGTACATATTATGTCGGTAGATGTAGATACTTATCCATTGGAATTTAGTGGAAGAATGCTGATATATTTTGCAATTCTGGGGATTTTATAGGGATTTCCCCGGTAAGAATTGGTACATCCCATCCCACCAATAGCGACCGTGGGTACCCCCAATGGCAGATCAGTCGTCACCATGGTTGTTTCAATACTAAGTCATGGTCTGACTTGGATCATTTGGGGTGACCCCATACGAAACCTCCATGTGTTATATTAGAATTTTCTGAAGATTCCCCACATTTCAATATTGGCACCCAGTATTATTGCTGATAGCCATGGTTGGAGGGTTACTTTCTGGACATGGCAAGCTTCAAAATCTCGCTGAAATACCGATGTCCTGCCTCTTTTCAACTGGTGCCTGGTGCCTTAACATATTCAAAATACGGGGATGTTTCAAGACTTTAGGGACACTATTTCGGTATTTTTTGAGTGATGCATCATCATATCTATTTACAAACTATTTTGATGTCAAACTCAGCGTGCCAAGGCTTTGACCCATATATATATACATATAATAGATATATACATATACACACATATATATATATATTATATTTATATTCATTTTTATGTGATCCCTTCCTCCAATGACACAAAACCTCCTAAGGGACATTTTGGAATTTATTGGATCTCATGAAGGTTCCCATTTCTCTGGAGTTTTACTTTAAAGGTGGGATTATCTTGGAAATCCCAGACTTCTGCGAACAGGGCGACGCTTGCCCAAGTTGGAGCGCGACCATTCGGGTGGGTTGGAAGCGATTCGGAACGAGAGCCAGCTGCAGGAGGAGTCTGAGATTTGGGGGATTCAACCCAGCGATTTGTGTCCGGGATTTTTCTTTTGAAAAGTGGTGGTTGAACCAAAATTTAACTTTTTAACAATCCCAAACTTGGGATTTTGTAAGATCTTCTAAAAACATCTGACACACCACAAGTTATACTCAAACTTCTACGCCCCCCTTTCATGAATGCTTGATGCTGGGTGGATCGGAAGGGGGAAGAGTTGCAGTTTTTTTGAAGGCCCGGGACAACAAATCTTGAACACAACTTTTGAACTTTGGGGTGCGGGCGTGAAGTTAACCATGTGCTGTAAACACTCGATTGCTGTTTCTTTTTTGAAACGAGATGGGTCTGAAAATCAGGACTTTACCAGCAGTCTATGTCCGTGCTTAGATCATTCCCAAAGGTAAAAAAATATTTTCAACCAGTGGATCCACGGTAGTTTTCCATGGTTTTCCCATCATTTCCAGGCACCAAACCCAAATTTTTCTCAGGAGGAGGCAACCTCTCGTCCGGGCGCCTCCGAAAACTCCAAGATGCCATCGGAGAAGGCGAGCGGATGTGCAGGAAATGAGTCCTGGCAAGTTATTTGGATATGCTGGATATCACATATCACATATCATATCACATCAAATCATATCAAATCAATTCATATCATATTAGTGCATATCATATCATGTATGTTTGATCGTCTTTCATATGTCAAATGTCATACGCCAGATAACATCAACAATATATCACAAATCACATATTACATATCACACATCACATACCATATATCATATAGTATGGTTTATTATATATCATATTATATAGATCATATAATATATCACATTAGGTCACATCATACACCATATATCAAACATCATATGTCATATATCATATATCATGTATCATATAGCATATACCATATACCATGTATCATATATCATATTAGTTCACATCAGAATTCATACATCGACTATCACATATCACACATCACCGCACCTATCATATATCATATATCACAAATCATATTATATCACATTTTATTTTATCACATGACATTATATCATTTCATATTATATATTATATCATATTATAGTATGTCACATTATCATATTATACTATATTATATTTTATCATATTGTATTATGTCATACTATACTATACTATACTGTACTATACTATACCATACTATACTATACTATACTTTACTATACTATACTATACTATACTATATCATCTTATATGATATTATACTATACTATATCATCATATATTATTATCTTATCTTATCTTATATTATGCGTATTATTTATATTTATATTTATATTTATATTTATATTTTGTCTATTTCATATATAGGCGAAGGAAGTTTAGAAGTCAAACTTCCGACAATATGGACAGATGGAAAAGCAGAGGTGGGAAGAGCCAGAGAAGAGAAGAGCAGAAGAGAGAAGATCATAGAAGAGAAAGAGTCAGAGGAAAGAAGATGCAGGTGCGAGAAAGGGTAGCAAAGTCGCGAAATTCTGTGTTTTTCCAATGATTTGAGGCTTCGGAGGGTCGGAGCCATGTGGTCAGATGAGAGATGAAAAGTTGCACGCCGTTGTGGCGCGAAGCACATTTCCAAGTCAAAACGTGCAAAACACACCATTCTCGGACCACTTTTGAAAGTTGAGAGGTCGAAAAAGTGCACGCCGTTGTGGCGCGAAGCACATTTCCAAGTCAAAACGTGCAAAGCACACCATTCTCGGACCACTTTTGAAAGTTGAGAGGTCGAAAAAGTGCACGCCGTTGTGGCGCGAAGCACATTTCCAAGTCAAAACGTGCAAAACACACCATTCTCGGACCACTTTTGAAAGTTGAGAGGTCGAAAAAGTGCACGCCGTTGTGGCGCGAAGCACATTTCCAAGTCAAAACGTGCAAAGCACACCATTCTCGGACCACTTTTGAAAGTTGAGAGGTCGAAAAAGTGCACGCCGTTGTGGCGCGAAGCACATTTCCAAGTCAAAACGTGCAAAACACACCATTCTCGGACCACTTTTGAAAGTTGAGAGGTCGAAAAAGTGCACGCCGTTGTGGCGCGAAGCACATTTCCAAGTCCGTACACAGCACGCCATGTTCGGACCACTTTTGGAAGTTGAGATGTCGAAAAAGTGCACGCCGTTGTGGCGCGAAGTTTCCAAGTACAAAACACACCATGTTGGGACCACTTGTGGAAGTTGAGATGTCGGAAAAAGTGCACGCCGTTGTGGCGCGAAGCACATTTCCAAGTCAAAAGTGCAGAAAACTGATGGGTACGGGGCACTTTTGGACGTTCAGATGTCGTTTCGTGTAGCAAGCGCAAGGGATTGTGCACCTGGTCAAAAGTGAGAAAAAAGTGAGGGTTTTGTAGCAGTTTCAACCACAACCACCACTGAACTACACTACACTACAACTACAACTACAGGTACAGCTACAAATACACTACATTACACTACGTTGCCTTACACAGCACTACACTACACTACAACTACCACTACAACTACAGCTACCACTGCGCTACCACTACACTACATTACAACTACACTACAACTACACTACCACTACACTACACCTAACTCAATTACATTTCACCACACTAGACTATAACTACAACTACAGCTGCAACTACAGCTACAACTACACTACATTACACTACACTAGTTAGACTACACTACGCTACACTACACTACGCTCAATTACACCACACCACACTACACCGCACCGCACCGCACCGCACGGCACGGCACGGCACGGCACGGCACGGCACGGCACGGCACTCCACTCCACTCCACTCCACTCCACTCCACTCCACTCCACTACCTACGCTACGCTACGCTACGCTACACTACACACTACACTACAGTACAGTACACTACACCACACCACACTACACCACGCGACACTACACTACACTACGCTACACCACACCACACCACACGACACGACACGACATGACACGACACGACACGACACGACACTACACCAACAACTTCAACTACACTACATTACACTAGACTACGCTACGCTACACTACACTACACTACACTATTTACAATACACTACGCCGCGCTACTACAATACAATACATTACACTACACTAACTACATCTTGAACAACAGCTACAGAAACACTACACTACACTACAATATGCTCCACTAATTACATTACATTGCGCTACCCAACACTACACTCCACGACACTACACTCCACTACACTACACTCCACTACACTCAATTACACTACACCAACAGCTACAGCTACACTACATTACACTAGCCTGCACTACCCTACCCTACCCTACCCTACCCTACCCTACCCTACCCTACCCTACCCTACCCTACCCTACTACACTACGCTACGCTATGCTACGCTACGCTACGCTACACTACACTAACTACAACAACAACTACAGCTACAATTACAGCTACATTAGACTACATTACGCTACATTACACTACACGACACTAATTACATTACACCACACTACACAACACCACATTACACTACACTACGCCACACTACACCACACTACACTTACTGTAACTACAACTACAGGTACGACTACAACTACAGGTACGACTACAACTACACTACTTTACACTACGCTACACTACACTACCCTAAATTTGATTACACTACATTCATTATACCACCACACATGCAACTGCAACTGCACTACGCTAATTAAACTACACCACAGCTACAACTCCACTACACTACAACTACAACTACAGCTGGACTACACCACACCACATCCAGCAGTTGCGGGTGAGGTGACCGACCAGGTGACCACTGCAACCATTGTAACTTATAACCATTCTAAAAAACACAACTCCGACCACCTTTCATTCCATCAGTGGATTCGCTCTGCCACCCGTGATTCACAACAACCAAACTCCCCTATAGGTTTCCTATTTGTGAAACTTCCGCCGCCGCCTCGTGCGGTACAACTGGTATAATATTATATTTACATTATTGTAGAGATAACATATTTATATTTTAGTATTTCCTATCATATCATATCATATCATATCATATTATATCATATCATTTCATTTCTTCAGACCGTATCATATCACGAACTCAACTTTGGAACGTGTCAATAATTTTGGTTTGAAATCTCCCAGGTGACCCCAACAAAAACAAAACTCTCAGCCTTTCAACAGCAATGCGCAAGGGGTGATCCTAAAAAAAACATCCTTGAAATAGGGTTTGCTGTATTTTTTCCCCATTTAACATATTGTTCATTTATACATTGTTGAACATTTGTATTTTCCAGCCACTCATGCTTGATGACGAAACATTCACAAGTCTACCGCCATGTTTAGCTTTGATTCATATTGGACACTTCATATGGTTTGACATCTGTCCACGCGACTTTGGGATAAAAAATTGGGTTTGCCCCCAAAAATGAGGGATGTACTCCCATTCTTTCGGCTATTTGAAGCGTGCAACCATGAGTTTTCAAAGCATTGGAACTGGAAACACCCCGTTGAAACCCTCGCTGCAGGCATCTCAAGGCTTTTCAAAGAACCAACAGCAGAGTTTCAATAGCTCAAGCAGTCACAAGGACCAGAAACAGCTCCTTGAGCTGCAGATTTGGATCGGGGCATCAAAAAACATGCCCAAGTTGGGGTTGATTTCCACTAAGCAATGCACAATTTGTGGAGTTAATTTGTGCGATTACTATTTTGGGAAGCATTAGAACTATTCAAAAACGGTCCAACAAATCAGGTTTTGGGCTTTGACATATAGTAACGAATTTTAGAGCTGTCTGACCCAGAAAGACCTGGGCACTTGGCAACAGCTACCATTTCACCATTTCCAATGATTCAATTGGAGGCGGGTCAAACTTGAGTACCTTCCGGTAATCTAATGCTATTGTGAACAATCCATTCAAACTTGATTTAACTATTCAAAATGATGTTTTTTTCTAATAACTATGCTAGTTTACCAAAGGGTAGCCATTCGGCAACCGCCGCTCTCAGGGTGCCTACACCTCCAACCAGTGGTTCTTCTTTCAGTCGTTATCTGCCCTCGTTTTTGAGAAAGGCACCGGTCAAGCCAGTGAGACGACCAGTTAGATTGGTGGGTTATGAATAGTTGGGATGCACCCCCAAGTGCCTACGATTTTCCTCGAAGATCTCCATGGCCATACTAAAAAGAGGTCTTATGAACTGCTAAAATTGGGATGTCGCTCACACGAAGTGGTTGGTCAGATTTCAGAACCATCTATATAATCCCTTCTCGCTGATTAAGTGCGCGCATCGAACACCTTGGTGGATCTACAGTATCTATTTAATTTTTGATTTTGGGGGCTCTCAATCAAAGTTGAAAATCAAGTCATATTGACATCTGAAATCTGAGACTACTTTCTGATTCAGCTCAAGATCTAGTGGCTACATCTTAGTTTTTTCTCCCCGCAGTCCATGGTTTGTTGTCATCAACAAACTCTCTAGGACTTTCAAGGGGATGGCTGATGCTTTTTTCACAGTGGGATGGTAATCAACCAATGGCATTGGCACAGATAACATGGAAGGGGATGGTTGATGCTGTTTCTGTCAGGCACGGACAGGCTCCAAAGACAAGGCAATCGAAGAAAAATCACGGCGGTCATCGCTCGACCAGGCGGCTGGTTGGCTGAAGCCAACGTCGGTGAAGCCTTGAAAAACTCAACTAGCGGGATGACACAATATTAGGCTGATTGGTGGTTTCAGATATTTTGAAATTTGTTATTTGTTCAACCATACTTGGAATATCTTGGAATGATGATTCTAATTGACAACTATCTTTCACAGGGATGGTTCAAGCGTCAATCGGTAGGGTTTTGATCGGGCCCCTTCCTCGTGATTCCTGACACTTGGTTTGGACTTTGCCATCCTACCATTACAGTGTGAGAAACCCTTAGTTTTCCATCTTGGTTTGCGATGGTTCATCTCAAAGTGAGTGGCAGATAGAACAGATTCAACAAGCTCAAGACCTGCAACACCATATTTTTGGGATGACCATCCATATCCATCCATAACCACCAGCTTTTGTTTTATTGTGAACACCCAACCTGTCCATGCATATATATATATACACATACAAAGTTTATACTAATTAATTAACTATATGAAGTATATAATTATGTATGTATGTATGTAATGTAATGTAATGTAATGTAATGTAATGTAATGTAATGTATGTATGTATGTATGTGTGTATGTATGTATGTATGAAATGTAATGTAATGTAATGTAATGTAATGTAATGGAATGGAATGGAATGGAATGGAATGTAATGTAATGTAATTAATGTAATGTAATGTAATGTAATGTAATGTAATGTAATGTAATGTAATGTATGTAATGTATGTATGTATGTAATGTATGTATGTATGTAATGTATGTATGTAATCTATGTATGTATGTATGTATGTATGAAATGTAATGTAATGTAATGTAATGTAATGTAATGTAATGTAATGTAATGTAATGTAATGTAATGTAATGTATGTATGTATGTAGTGTAATGTAGTGTAATGTAATGCAATGCAATGCAATGCAATGTAATCCAATGCAATGCAATGCAAGGCAATGCGATGTAATATAATGTATGTATGTATGTATGTAATGTTTTTATTTTTTTTTTATTTTTTTTTAATTTTATTTTATGTTATGTTATGTTATTATGTTATGTTACGGTATGGTATGGTATGGTATGTATGCATGCATGCATGTATGTAATGTAATGTTATGTAATGTTATGTTATGTTATGTATGTATGTATGTAATGTATGTATGTATGTCTGTAATGTATGTATGTAATGTATGTATGTATGTATGTATGTATGTATGTATGTATGTATGTATGTATGTATGTATGTATGTATGTATGTATGTATGTATGTATGTATGTATGTATGTCTGTATGTATGTATGTATGTATGTATGTATGTATGTATGTATGTATGTATGTATGTATGTATGTATGTATGTATGTATGTATGTATGTATGTATGTATGTAGGCATGCAATGTAATGTAATGTAATGTAACGTAACGTAATGTAAGGTAAGGTAATGTAATGTAATGCAATGTAATGTAATGTAATGTAATGTAATGTAATGTATGTATGTGTGTATGTGTGTATGTGTGTATGTATGCATGTATGCATGGATGCATGGATGCATGGATGCATGGATGCATATATGCATGGATGCATGGATGCAGGTATGTATGTATGTATGTATGTAAGTAATGTAGTGGTGATGCTAATGGTAATGCATCCATACATCCACCCATACATCCATACATCCATCCATCCCTCCCTCCCTCCATCCATACATACACTCCGGAGGGTACATGCTGGGTAAGCTTCAATTCCTACTTATTTGGGGCTCGGGTTTTGGAGCCTCGAGCCCACTTACAGGCAGTCAGAAAAACCTAACGGTCCTAGGGTTGGCGCTTGGCCAAGGGTGGTGGCAAAGAAGCTTGCAAGGAAGCGCACCGTAGTGGCAAGACATGCTTTGAAACAAAGAAAGTACTAAGGATAGCCCTAACCATTCTAGGCGCAATTCCTATTGCCACAGCAGAATCACGGCTGATGTGCTGATGAAAAACTAAGAAGGCATGAGCTGCGAATCACAATTGCTTGGACGCAAAACTACTAGGATTTCTGCCACATTGAAAGGATCAGATGAGGATACTAAATTATTGTCTTTGGAACATGTTCTCAGCAGTTTTTGGCCAAGCTAATACGAATTGCGAAATCGTGCTTAGCAGTTTTGGGACGGAACCATAGCAATTCTTGCTTCAGTGCCACTCGGTTTTCGTCATGCTTGGGTACTTGTGAACCGACTAAGGAAAGCACTAGCACCTTCTGATAATCTGATACTTGGATGTGTGCACACACAAATGGCCACACTCCCCAGGAATCAATGTTGCCAATCACAAAAGATTAAGACTTGCCGCGTTCCTAGTGAAGTTGCTCGCTGTCACAGCCCGCCTTACATGTTGCCCAGCGCCTGGAAGCAAGTCAACTTTGATGTCAGGGGTGCCAGGGGGGTGTGCCCAGGGTGCTGTGCAATGCCTCCGGTTTTACTGATGTCTTTGCACCGCTTGTGGCTGTCAAGGTTCAACCTAGCATGCTTGCCACAGAACAGAACGGGTTTTCTTGCAGCTTTTGCAGCTGTGCTTCCGATGGTTTCACGCTGAAACTTCACTGCAGCACGACCCTATTTTTGAGTCTGTGGGCGTACAAATGGGTATCCTGACTTGTACCCTCAATGCATATGATACATGCAGATTTGGCTGGTTGTGATCGATTTACCTCCTGGCTGGCTTCAGGCTGATAAAAAACAGCCCACGAAGTCCAAGTCTATCATCGACGAGTTGGACTTGGACGTGAAGGTGATCGGTGAAGATCTGGGGATTTTTGGGGCTATCGGGCCCCTTTTAGATGACTCATGATATGAATATATAGAACATCTGAAAAAGGAGGATGCATCAGATTTTTGGTACCGTCTTTTCAAACAATTCGAGCTCCAGTACCAGAGGTCTTGGTACTAGCTTTCACTACTTGAGGTTACAGGCAAAAAAGAGGGTGTAACCGCATGGTCCAGATTGGTTGGACGGATGACCCCACAGGTTTCCCAAACCACCGGTTGATCGTGAAAAAGTCTGTGTTGGTTGGAAACGGCTGATCTTTTGAAATGCCGAAATTGGTTTCCAGTATTGGTTCTTGTGTCAGTTGTATGTGTCAGTTGTGATTTTGACACCAGTTTCAAGAATCGTAGCTGAAGGAAATGGACCCTGCATTTTTTATGACCATTTTAAGCACTTTCATACATTATTGTTTCAGCTGGGGTGTATATCATTTTTGCGGTCAAACAGCATGTTATATTATCTATGGCACAAAGGTCCTTGATCTAATTGGATTTTATTGGTTGATGAGATTTGACTAGCCTCCAACGGCTGGTTTTCTATGTTGGTTGGAGTGTGGTAATCATTATAAAGGCATATTGGCATTGACCGTACTCACGATTATGCTTAACCAGGGAACCTTCTAGTTAGAATCAAGTGATACTAATCACGAATAACTATTCTGTCACTAGAAAATGGAACCAGTGGTTCCTAGTAATATCTAATAACAATAGCTATTTCATCCTATTTCACTATGGTTAGAATCCCGAAATTTTGTCTACTTCTGTTACACCAACCTCCAGCGATTCTCGCCAGGGCCTCGAGCGAGTTTATCAGGAAAGACATGAAACGCAGGTGACCAACCATTGGGACCGGCGAGGGGGATGTTTTGGTATACCCGGCCTGGTAATGACTAACATAACGAACTGGAAAGATCCACCATTTTATATGGGTAAATCCACTATAAATTGCAATTTTCAATAGCAAACTGTTAGTTTACCAGAGGGTAAATCACCAGTATTTGTTTCTGTTCTGGGACTTCTGGGTCAAAGTGAGGTCGAGGATAAGACCCCTATGATAAACCATGGGCCAAATGGTGGTGGTAAAATTCCCGGTTTTGAGACAGACAGACTCACGCATGGCGGGTTTACGGGGAAATCCGTCCCACAATCGGTTTGTTTCAGGTTTATTAACTTTTTGGACCAATTGCCCGGGAATTCTGGTCTGGTCATTGTTACCATCACACCATTCCTTTTCCGCGGTCCAAGATTCCGAATCAGAGCAGCAGAGGGTGTGGGTGTAAACAGTCCTGTCCAAGCAGCAATCATCGGTTTGTTAGGGCTCCCTACCAGTTGTGGATAGTTTTAAAATGTTTTAAATCCCTTCCCCCAGTAATATTGAGCACGGGATTTAAACATAAATCTTTTGGGGGTCTTTTGGTGGTTATCGGTATGGGTCCGGTATGGGTTTACTTTTACAAAGCTGAATGGCTACGCGGCTACGCCCAGGTCAACACGGATGTTCAACGCCAAATCAGCTGTTGAGGACTCCGTGGTCAGCCAAGAGTGGTTGAGGTTGTTGCGGTTGTTGCTGTTGTTGCGGTTGTCATGGTTGCTGCTGTTGTTGTGGTTGTGGTTGTCTTGGTTGTTGTGGTTGTGGTCGTGGTCGTTGGTTGTAGCTGTTGGCTGTGGCGGCAGCGACGGCAGCGGCGTCAGTTCTGGTGGTAGTGGTTGTGGACATGGATGTAGTCGTGGTTTAAGTGTTATCATGCGTACTTTTTTATTGAGCCAACGTGGTGGTGGCTGCGGCTGCGGCTGCCGCTGCAGCTGTGGCTGCGGCTGCAGCGGTGGCACGTCAGCTGCTGCGGTTGTCGGCGTTGTCGGCGTTGTTGAGGTTGTTGGCGTTGTTGGGATTGTTGGGGTTGTTGGGGTTGTTGGGGTTGTTGGCATTGTTGGCGTTGTTGGCATTGTCGTCGTCGTCCTCCTCCTCGTCGTCGTCGTCGTTGTTGTTGCTGTTGTGGTTGTAGTAGTGGTGATTGGCAGTTGCCAGGACGAGTGCAACAAACTGGCTCTTCCTGCGCCTGAAACTCGCAAGAGATGCACAGTCTAAGTCTACCGGTTGCCACGAGTCAATTGACTTGCTTGTACAGACGGCAGCCGGCAAGGGCCTTGGATGCCGTCCGCAAGTTTGCGACCAACAAGAGCCAGAGAAGGTTGCAATCAACAAGAAACCAGGTGAATCCAAATGTTCAAAACCCTTGACCAGGTTGACACCACCTACAGTGGGCCCCTGTCAGTGTTAAGTCATCCCTCAACTAGGGGTATCTAACACTCAAATGGGACCACAAACGTTTGGCCCGTGCAAGTTCGGGTTTTCTTGGGCGGTTCTGCTTGGCGGTTGGCGCACCAGTTCCCCATTTGGAATGTTCAGCCGCCAATCTTTGAAGTTTCGTGGTGTGTGCGATCGAAGGTGATGGCGAGGGGACTTTCACAGTCAATGGAACTTGAAGAAGCGTTCCACCAGGTCGGAACCTTTGTGAGGCTGAAAACACTACTGAAGTTTGCATCACAGGGAGCAACTTGGTGTTTCAAGATGAAGCGGAGCCGAGCATTGGGTAATTTCGGTTGGGGAGATCATCCCCTGACTTCATGTACGGTAGTGTGATTTTGAGCACGTATTTTTGTGGCAAGTTTCACAGAAAAATGGGCATGTGAGTCAATAGATTCAATAGGTACTACTCACAATGGGTGCTCTGATCAAAATGTGACCCCATCATGAACAGTTTCACTGCAAGACGAGGGGTTATCGATGTTTCTGGGGGGTGTTTATTATTCAAACATCAGTGGCATCAGTGGCTTCATAGCCATTCCTTCGAACCACGAGTCCCTGCTGTGCTCGAACCATGCGAGCCCATTGCGCGTTACCATGTGGTGCAGCAGTGACACCAAGCTACTCGATTTCCCATATTTCAAGTGGATGTGTGCATGGGCCCGGAGCTCAACCCGTGGGGGGACATGGGATTTGGAATTTGGATGATTTTGGATGATTTATGTGAATTTCTAGGTTTGAAATCTACTTTGAAGCAAATGATATGACTCGCCCATGAGGGCAATCACTTTTCAGCAGATGGAATATGACCATGGTACCATTGGGCATTTTCCATCCCTTTCCATCCTTTTCCACTGAAGCATTGGTGGAAACTTGACAGTATGAGTAGTTGATTGTGTGTACATCCCTGGTTTCCGGAGTGTTGAGCAACGGAGAACTTCCATAGCATGGGGGAACTTCCAGCAAACCACCTTACATTCCTAAAGGATACTGAGGAAATCGCAGCTGAGAAAAGAGGCAAGAAGAGTCACGATTTACCAAGGGGCCATTTTTCATAGCCATGTTGGAGTTCGAAAAAATATACCTACTGCCTAAATTACGCCTTTGTAACTGGAAAACATATGCTTCTCTTTGAGTGTAGGAAGCCCAGATAGATAGATGAGCTGGACACAAAATCCTGAATTTTCAAGACCTTGATTTTTTATTTGTTTTCTATTTTAGGGCTTCCATGCAGAAGTGGATCAGGTAAGTAGTCGGCCTCTGCCAACCCAACCCAGCCAACATTTCTGCGGCTAAGGTTGAAATTCAGTAGGTTTCCCACCTTCTGCGTTGATGGGTCCTGTGCCTGTAGCAAGATGGTGCTGATTGGAAGAGTGGCACTCAGTCGTTTTTACTTTATATAATCATTGGGAGAAGAACCATGTTTTTTTTAGCATCCAAATGTCAGACTGTCGGGAGTTTCCCAGAAAAAACAGTAAAGAAACCATCCTTACGGCAGGAAGACGGGACATGAACAAAGAAGTCGTGTTTCGGCTCGAGGGAGGGCTTCCAAATGAACCGAAGAATCGAAGAATGACATGCAATGACAAATGTTTACCTCTGGGTTGATGGCAGATCGGGAAAATGGTACCTGGTAAACATGATCTTCCCATGGCAATGGAAGAATTCCCGATGTTTTTCCCATCAAAACATTGAACCCTGCATTGATGCCACGACTCTCAGAGGGTAGATCAGGGACAAACTTGGAGCACTTGACCCGTGCGATGTTTTGATGGACCCCCCGAATGGGGTGAGCTCAGGGGCGCCTCTGGGTGTCGAAGGAAAATCCGGACGTTTGCGCGTGGCACTTGAAATAGCATTTCTGAGTCGGGTATCAACTTTCTTGTCTTTACTTGCATTCTCAAAGATCGGAAAGTGAATGTCTTGCTAGTTTGAGGACTGGAACCTGTTTCAAGTTTACTTTCAGGGAGAAAGATAGGCTGAAAAAAACGTACGTTTTTCATGATATGCCAAGACAACACATGATATGTACCTCTGACTTGTGCTTGCACGAACAGGCATATAGGTGCACAATGCATCCATATGCATGCAATATGTCGAAATACACCTGCATGTATGCTATACACATACGGTACATACGTTTTCAAATGTGTGTATACAAACTCACTATACAGACATAGGGATTATTGATATTGGATCGCCAGGATAAGTCTTTCGAGATAACCATCCCCTGAAAGGGTTGAAAGAAGAAAAAGGATACTGATACCCTCTGGTTATTTAACATAGCCATGGAAAATCACCATTTTTAATAGGTAAACCCAGGTAAACCATCTATAAATGGGCCATTTTCCATGGCTATGTTAAATAACCAGAGGGTAATTGCTGGGTTTCTGCATGTTTCTGCTGGGTATTCTCCACAGTCCAAGCAATGAGTAATTTTCGCCGTGCAATTCCATATGCTGCTTCAAGTGCTTCCCCGCATCTCGCTGGGTGCTGGTAAATTGCTTATTCTTCAAGAAACATCCGTTGATTTTGTCCAGAAAAGGGGTCTAGGCTAGGTTTCAGTTTGGCTTCGCGTTGCAACAGACCTGCGTGGTGACACTCTGGACAAAACAGCAGGGCTGGGCCGACTGGCCTGAGCTTGGCGCTTGGCGCCCCGGCTGTGCCAAAGGGCCAACAACGGTGCCGTGGTCGGCGGGCACGTCTCCTTGAGGTGTGTGCGTGTCGACCACGCGTGTGTTCACGGGGGGAGACGATGATGGCCGAAAGATGGGTTCCACAATGTTCCACTAATTAGTGCAATCTCTTTCAGGTTTCCAATGGGAAAAAAAACAAACATGGTTCAGTGTGCAGACATGCAGTGCAACATGGAGAATGCATAGCTCTGCACATGATATGTATACAAGGTGCGTCAGGCATGTACGGCATGCATGGCATGTATTTTAGGTTATTTATTATCATGTCCCCATATATTATCCAATGTTCGATTCTGGAGGGTTATAACATGGCATACAGTCTTTTGCTTCCTTACGTCATCTTCTGCGATGTGCCCAGATATTATATACAAGAACATATAGACACATGCACAGATTAGCTTTTTAAGGTACTGTAGCGTCAACTTCACATACTCAACAACACATATACATATATAATTATATATATATATGTAACTACATATGTAGATATGTAGATATGCATATATGTACATATGTAACTATATATATGTAGATACGTAGATATGTATATCTGTATATATGTATATATGTCTATATGTGTATCTGTATATGTGTATATGCAAATATGTACATATGTATATGTATATTTACATATATATATATGTATACATGTATATGTATACGTACGTATAAATATATATATATATATATACATACAATTATATATCTGGGTAAATTATAACGACCTCTCTACGACCTCACTGGAATCATGGTTAGTAAGGGGAATCATCCCCAAATAGCCTTATTTCAGGTTAGTGAAATATTATAATTTACTCATGTATATATATGTATATATATATGTATATATATATATGTATATATATAAATACACTCGCACATATATGTATATATGTATATACTTATGCGTGTGTATATATATATGTATATGTATATACATATATATATACACATGCGTATATTTGTATATATGTATGATGCCTTTATGTCTATATGTGTATATGTATATATACATGTATATATGTGTATACTAATTGAAACACAAGCAGTTTACTATGTCATGCTTGGTCCCACTTCTATGTGCCAAGGATTGCAGGCAGCTTGGTTTCCCCGAGCCCTGCTGCTTAGCGTGATAGTCAACAGAAGGGAACGCCGCCCACAGGGCTTTTTGCGAGCAAAGTCGACAGAACAAGATATAACTTTTTGGTGGGCACCCTCAGGGAATCTAACATAGCTATGGAAAATATGTCATCTATAGATATTTATAGATGGTTTGGCTATTAGAAATGATGATTTTCCGCTGCATACTGTTAAATTTCCAGAGGGTAGATGATGCTACATCCCCCAAAACGGTGGCGTTTGCATTGCTTACATTGAGGAAATGCAAGGAACTCCACAACAAAAACCATCATTTTTGATGGAAACTGGCCCCTTTCCCCAAACCTGTGTATATATTGAGGACCAATCATACTCCATGAACCGGGAAACCCACAGGAACCAACCATTAATTACTTCCAATAAGTTCATCTAACACTGCTCAGGGTTTTACATTCCATTATATCCATATGGAATCACCTTTATTATCCCCATGACATCCTTATTATTACTCACATTACAAATCCCAATTTTTTTTAAAGTATTACATATACAAGTAAAGCCCGCACAAGGCGGGTGGCGGAAGTTTCCAGTGGAAAGGAATGAATGTTGTACTATAGGAGTGAAGGACAAGTTTTGCCTATAGGAGTTGGAGTGAAGCCTCACATCTTCGAAACTCTGTTCTGTGAATTTGTCCTCATCTTGCCTCACCCCTTTTCAACTGTGGCCACCACTTCTCAGCTCTTCGCAGCTCTTCTCAGGCCATCTCAGCTCTTCTCAATTCTTCTCACAACTCTTCTCAACTCTTCTCAAATTTTTGTTTCTATTCCCACCTCAGCTCAACTCTTCTCACCTCTTCCCACATCTTCATAACTCTTCTCTCCTCTTCTCTCCTCTTCTCACCTCTTCTCACCTCTTCTCAACTCTCCTCAAAGATTTAAATCGTTCGCAACCCCTTTCTTTTCGCAAATGATCTCAAAATCTTCTCATTCTCCTTGTCGCTTTGTCTTGATTTTACACAGAAGCTTTTACACACGGAAGTTTTTACACAGATATATAAGCTTTTGCACAGAGAAGATTTTACACAGAGAAACTTTTACACAGAAACTTTTACACACAGAAGCTTTTACACACAAAAGCTTTTGC